GGTAGTGGTAGCGGTAGTGGTTGTAGACGGTAGTAGTACGTGGGGGACTAGGCAGTAGCCGTAGCTGTAGTAGCGTCATGGGGCAGCGGCTGCCCCAGACGGCTTCACAAAGGTGTATGCCTGCTACTTCCAAAACCCAGGCCCCATCCGCAAAACCTCAGACATCATGTATTGATCGGAGTAATTAGCAATAGTACCCCCTTATAGCTCCTGTTTGACTGCAATGCAACATAACAAAACCCTACTCCAATTATTTATTCAGGTCCCAGTCTATGGCCGAGGCCCAGTTGTTTCTGAAAGCCTTGAAAACCATCAGAGCTCAAGCAAAAGGAGCACCAAACCCTTAACTTCTAAACCCTGAGCCCCTCCCTCAACCTGACGCCTTAAACCCGAAACCGAAACTAAACCCCAAACTCAATCAAAACCCGAAGCCTTAAACAAACCTTAACCCAAACCCCAAACCTGAAAGCACTGCATGGCGGAGGCCCTGTCATTTCTGGAAGCCTGGGAAAGGAGCAGACCCAGGCCTGGCCAGGGTTTCGAAGCTCGGGTCAGATTTGGGTGGGGGGGGGGGGGGNNGGTTTAGGGTTTAGGTTTTCAAGTTTAGGGTTTAGAGTATTCGGGTGGCAATATTGAATAGTAAGAATAGAGTTCCATTATATGTTTCTATATGGGTTACTACAAGGGTTTGGTATAGGGCCTTATGGGGGGCTTAAGAATGAAGCCGGGGTTTGGGGGCATAGGCTCATATGAGTGTAAGGGGACTATGCTGGAAGTCCATTAGTAGTTACTCCGAGCCCTGTAGTACCTTGTTCTGTTTTTTTCTGCAGCTTAGTGTAAGTGTTCTGAAATTCAGGTTTTTGGGGTCTGAAGGTTCGTGGCTTGGCCTGTCGCTCCGGGCCGGGGGCTTCCGGGACTCGCAGAAGATTGGAGGACCCGTCGACCCCGCCAGAGTATGCACAATTTAGGAGTGGGAATACTTAGTAGCATTATTCTTTGGGGCTCCTTGCTATTATGTCAAAATACAATTCTACACCAAAAGCTCTACTTACTCTAATTATGAACCACGGCTTTCCGGTCTACATGATCGGGGCCTGGCCCCTCTCTTGATCCCAAGCTGTTCCTAAACTGGGGCGGGGTGAAATCCGTATGACTCCTACTTGCAGCTATAACCCGCCCCCGGACCCCTAGAACAAAGGCCCCTTGAGGGTTCCCCTACGGGATCTCCAAGGGTTCTGTACTACAGGGGCCTCCATGGTGAGACCGGGCCTAGGCTTCAATGGCAATCATTATAAGAGTTCTCTAGTATGGTGGCCTTATACATAGCACTTAAAGGGCCTAGTCGGCCGAGGATTCCTCAAAAGGCCAAGGCGTGCCCAAGAAACTCCTAAGCCATCCCCAAACCAGTTTGGTCGTTGAGCCCTATCATGGACCCCTATTCAAAGCCCCAAACCTGCGTTCCAGATGAGAGAGCATAAGCCCTAAACCCTAAGCCCTAAACCCTAAGCCCTAAGCCCTAAACCTTTTCAACTCTTGGTTCACTTACCCCCTTATTCTATGGCGCGACCCAGGCCGGATACCATCTCCTTCAACACCCTCATGAGTCACCTGGCGGTGACCCCCCACCCATTTTTTGTTGCGTGTTTTTGAATAAAAGTTGTGGTTTGTGGCTTTGGGAAATCAGGGTCAGGGACCAGGGGCCCATATGAGGCCAGAGGATCCAGTGTGAACTCCCAACCCCCCCCCCCCCCGCCCACGTTTGAACATCCTTGACCCTAAAGTTTAGGGTTTAAGGTTAGCATCAAATCCTTACATCTTGAAACACAGCGGCCCCAAACCCCGAGGCCCAGAGCCAAAGAAGCTCCACACTCTGTAAATCCGACGTGACTTGGTGAAGCCTTGCCTGCCTTGGGCGAGTGTGGGAGCCGAAGCCTAAACATTCAGTTTTTGTCCATGAAACTTAGATCCTTATGGTAGCCTCAAGTCTAGATGTCCATATTTATGTTTCTATATATATATATATATTTATATCTATATTTATATTTATATTTATATATATATGCACACACACACGCGCACTATATACTTATCCTTTTTTCCTAGATAGATAGCGAGAGAGAGAGAGAGAGAGAGAGATACATATACATATACATATATATATATGTATAAGATGGCGACGTGCGCTCAATCGGAGCCGTGTATAGCAACCATCACAGGAAGCCCAACCCTTGGAACCCCTCAGGCGCCTCGGGCTCAGCCAACAACTGGGCTGCTGCGGCCGCGGCCGTGACAGCGCTGACAGCTTCGGGCGGCCAGGTCTGGCACGGTTTTGTCTTATTCTGGGGTTTAGGGTCCTGATAGGGCTTTAGGGGTCTAAGGGCTTTGGCTAGGGTTCAGGATTTCAGGGCTTAGGGGTTGGGGGGATTCAGGGCTTAGTGCATTGCAGTCCCTGCTCAAAAAAGGGGTTGGGGGGTTTGTTCGTCGTGTTGATCTTCATGTAGAGTTTAAGGTGTACGGTTGGGCTTTAGTCAGGGGCTGTAGGGTTTAGGATGTGGGGTTTGGGTGCCGATGTGGGGATTGGGAATTATTGACATACGACACATCGTCAAACTGCAGGACACACACACAGAGACACACGAGCTTATATATACATATATATATATACAAATATATATTGTTCATGTATGTATGTATGTATGTATGTATGCATATGTATATATATATACACATGATGTGTATGTATGCGTCTGTGTATGTGTATGTGCATGTGTATGTGCATGTATAATATATGTATAATATATGTATATATATATATAACCTAAACATATACATAGACATACATGTACATTCATTCACTGTCAAGCCCAACATTTGGGGACTCAGGGGCTCATTATAAGGGGTTTCAGGTACCATGCTTGCGAGGGCCAAGGGCGGCAGAAGCAGTCAGATAACAAGCTTAGTTCGTTCGTTGCATGTTTTGGACTGGTCCCTGCCGTTTTGCTGAAGCGTCCTGTGGGTTTAGCTGATTCCCTGTCCTTCCTTGGCTTTTCTAGATCAGGTTTGCGATTTGCAGTTCCCATGCGTGGACTTGAGCTTTCCTGGACTTTGCGAAGGTTTGTGCATAAAGAACCTCCTCTATGACTATAGAGTCCAAGGTGTACTCTGATGGCACCGCAGGGAGTACAACCTAGGACCTAGAGTGTCAATCAGTTCGACGCAAGGACTACGCCAGTGTACATATGCAGACTTATACACTTATACATAACTTATACACCACCCAACTAGTTGACCTCAAGGGACGACAGCCAACCTTCTCAGATACCATGGATGCGGTTGACAGGCATTGCAACAACCCCACTTGGAGGTTCATGGGTAGCTATACGTCGGGGGTCATAAATCCTCTAACATGGGTTGTCTGTAGCTACCCTAATTTTCCCACTGCACTTCATTGCCTAAACCCTAAGCCCTAAACCCCGCCACTTCCCATCTGCAGGCAACTACCGTGTCCTTGAATTCGCTGCTGAGCGCCTGTGAAAGGCAGCACGATGGGTGCATTCTGGCCCACATCCCCTTGTGCTCTCGATGCCCAAAGCGGTCTAGGGTTTAGGGATCCTTGCCTCTTGCTACGACGACTTCGACTGGTAGGCCAACACATCGCAAACTCTCCACCCAAAGTCCGACCCCGACACATCCGAACGATCTAGGGTTGTAGGGTTGCAGAGGTTAGGCTTTGCACATAGGCTCTGGGTTGAGAGACGCTGTTGCCAAATTTACGCCCTCAACCTTGTAAAGACCCTGTGTATATCCTGAAAGCCCTGAGGTCCTTCATGCCATCAGCTCGCAGCAACATAAAGCTTTAGCCGGCTTCAACCTCTTACGAACCCTCTAAAGACTTAAACGCTCGACAAACCCGACAATCCCTAGAGCCCGACTGTATAAAGCTTGACAAAAGCCGTGTATGCATGTAGCATACCAGGTATGTATGTGTGTGTGTATATATATATAATATGTATACGTACGTACATATACATGCACAGCAACCCTACTAATTAAGCTCGCACTCTCAGCGCGGCCGCCTGGGCATCGGCCGTCGCAGCTTTGAGCACGGCAAGCAGCGATGGTTTGCGCTGCGACGCGTCACCTGACCCAAGTCTGCTTTTCGGGGGCAGCTTCTTGTTTTAGAATCCCGGGTTTCTGTGACTGCTTGGGGCTCTAGGGTTTCAGGTTTAGGGCTCTGCAGCGGGGATTATGCTGAAGTTAGCGTTTTGCGTTCGGGTTTGGGGCAGAGGCATTTTGATGTCAGGGTCGACGCCCTTTGAATCGGCATCATCCGTGACTATTGTTCATCCTTACACGCTGTGAAGCACATGCTCTCACAGGCAGCAGTCTCATTGCTTCCTTAGGGGCAGCTTCAACTTTATAAACTCTCATTCAAGCCCCAAAATGCCTTCTTAAGCCCCAACAACTCCTAAATCCAAAATGATATGTAGTTTAAGCCCTATAAGCTTCGAACCCTACCCCAACAGATTGCAAATTATTAAATTGAATCCCAAACCGTAGACTCTCGACTTAAACTAAGCTCCGAAAGTCCTTTGAGTATGGTGAAACTGCCAGCTCTGGAACCTCACCAGGCTTGTCCCAGTTGTGAGTGCTGAGACCCTAGCTATAGTCTCCATTGTAGTTCCTTTTTGGGGTTACCTTTTAGGATCCTTAACATAGAATGGGTTAAACCAAAAAAAGGAACTACAATGGAGACTGTAGGTAAGCCCTCAAACCCTGATCCCGACCTGTAGTGAGCACACGAGCCGAGAGACCTCGTCGAGCAGAGCCCGAGTAGAGCACGAGTTCTGAGAGCGTATAACCGTATAACCCTAAACCGCAACACTCTAGGTTTCGAAGCATTCCTCGCAGAAATGCGCCCGAAACGGTTCAGGGCTTGGGGTTTTAGGAGTTTCGGGTTTTGATAAGGTGTCGGGCTTGTGATTAAGTTAAGGTGCAGGGCTCTGTAATTTTCATTAGTCTGCATTGGTCTGAGTAACTGTGAGGTTGTAGTCATTTCTATGACCTTGAGTCTCATTGTTACCACGGTGGGCAGCGCTGCGCCGCGAGGATCAGCCTCAACTCGGTGGCAAGCGCTGCCGCGGACGAGGAGCAGGTGCTGCGGGTGCGCCAGAGTTCCAAGCTTCGTGGCCTGTTCGTGCCGGGTTTTCTCCTGGAGCAAGTCCTGGGTATTGTGATGTGGTACAAAACCTTCTACAACAACAACAGCAGCAACATCAACTACTACTACCACAACTACTACTGCTGCTACTCCCACTCCAACTCCTACCGCTACCGCTACCGTTAACGCTACCGTCGCCGCTACCGTCACCGCGACCACAACCGCCACTGCCACCGCTACCGCCGCTACTACTGTGACTGCTAGTGCCCCTGCTGCTACTGCTGCCACAGCGACCACGAGCACAACCAGCATCATCGCAGCCAGGTTGATATTAACCTATGGCTGGATCTGAGGCCACCCCCTTGGAACTGAAACCGTAGACAGCGTTAAACCCCGAAATCCCCGAAAAAAACCCTCTACCCCCAAACGGTATGGTGCCTAAGCCCCGTAATCCGCAAGGCCCACGAAGACCCTAAAGCCCTAAACTCCTTAAGCCCCAAATGGTCCAGGGTGACTGGCGCCGAGCCCGGAGCATGCTCAAGGACTACCAGGATCTAGGTTTGCAAAGGCCGCCCGGAAGGGCAGAGGCTTTGCAGGGCCTTCTTGTGATGTTTTAGTCTCAAAAAGTAGGAGCCTCAATAGTTAGAGTTTGCATGTCCTTGTAACCGTGTTTTATGCCTTGAGCCTGGAAAATTAGAGAGGGATTTCAGGGTAGATTGTACTATCGTTCTATCAGCAGGGGATATACGCAGATACTGTAGGCAACTCTTCCAACTCCAGAATAGATAAAGGGTTTGGCTCAAGGTCGACTTTTCGTATTTGACTGAGCTTGCATAAAATTTCGAAAGGAACCCGAACATTCCAAGTCTTGTGTTGGCTGAGCTCTGCGGCATGTGTTATCATAGTCGGTTGTATGGGGTCACGGCGCCCGGGCACTCGCTAGTTTATGCGTGGAGGTTAGTTATGGCACCTTAGCTTCTTCAGGAAATACATGCAACTTGCTCGAGCCTTGGGTCTCGCATTCAGTATCCGTCCTACAACTTACGGAAAAATCCTAAAAGAAAGGAGTCCGGTTCAGGGGTTTGGGGCTGAGGGATTTGTATAGGCGGAACCCGGAACAGCCCAGAACCGGGGCACCCCCTACCTAGGGTTTAGGGTTTAGGGCAAGAAGACCGATATCCTTGGTCAGCAGACCAGATGCGAGAGGAATGTGAAAAAGCAGAGCTCGCATCGAACCCAAGCGTATGAAATCTTGTAAAGCCCGACAGTGACAGTGAAACCCGCCTCACCATCCTAGAGCTCCTATCAAGGGGATCACTAAGGTGACGCTAAGCCCCAAGCCCTCCACCCCCTAGCCCTAAACCCTATGCGAGAGGGAAAAAACCCCCTACGGATTAAACCGAACATGGCAGGTCGATCGTCTCCTTCGGTTCGGCTATTGGGCCCTGGGCTACTGCCATTGCCTTGCCTCTGGGCCGCGATCTTCGGATTCAGAAAAGCAGAGGGGCGCATGGGATACTGAAGAACAAAGAGGGTCCTCATTGAGGGTGCAGGGCAAGTTCGAGGTCTCAAGCTTAGTGTACCTTACTTTACTCAGGATTACGGGGTTCGGGGTTAGGGTACTGTATTTGAGCCTTGAGAGGTCTTTATACAAAGGTTGTGTTGCAGCAGTTTACGCAGGGGTTAGGGTTTAGGGTTGGTTTAGGGTTTAGGGTTTCGCAGGGTGAACATACGGATCCTATCGCGTCGGGTCTACTGCCTTTTTTGGAGGGTCCTTGTGCGACTTCTCCGGTGCTTTTTGCGGAATCCTCTGTAGGGCTTTCGGCTTTACACCCCGTTTCAAACCAAGTAGGGTTGCACAAAGGGGCTCTATGTAGGGCTTTAGGGTTTCTAGTCCTTCGGCTTGGGTGTTTCGGGATCTCGGCTTTTCGGGTTTTCAACTCTTTAGCGAAGGCTTACTGATCTTGAACGTAGTTGTGCTTGGGGTCGCTGCTGCTAAATGGCCGTTTCCTTGTCGTTCACATCAACTGACCCATTGAACACATGCCTCGCCGGGAAAGTCCGAGTGTGACTACTCAACCCTTTCGGGCCCTAAACCCCTAAGGATTGAAACTTAAGGCCTTAACCTGACCTAGATATCCCGCAGCTTTGTTCCAAAGTTGCGCCACCTCAAGAGAAGAACCTGACCCGCAGATTAAGGCCCCTAGAGAATAGAGTCTTTATAGCTATTTCAATCCTTATAGAACCCTTATAGTGCAGTCAGTAATCCTTATCCAACCGTTGTAGCTAGTAATTATTTATAGAAACCCCACAGTTAGCAATCCTTAAAGTAACTTGATAGATAGTAATCTTGAATCCTCAAGATCTTCTTGAGGCTCATTGCTGCAGCAGCGGCCCACGTTCGCAGGATCTGTGCGGGTAAGAAACCTCTACGAGTAAGAGCAGCTTGGGGTGTATGTAGAGTTTAGGATTTGGAGCACGAGCCCGTCAGGTCGCGGCTTGTTAAGCCACACAGCAATTTCTTCCGAGCCGGAGTAGAAGTCTCTGCACAAGCCGAGGACTGACTAACCTAACCCTAAACCCTCAACCCTAGCCCTTAAACTCTAAACCGAAGCCACAGCCCTCAAGACCAAGCCGTGCAACAAGTCCCAGCAACCGACCCCACGCACCCCGAGCCCGAAGCCCAAGAGCCAATCAACCTAAACCCGCAATTCCGCGAGAAAGCCTGAGCCCCAGACCCTAAACCCCAAAAAGGCTTAAAACCTCTGAGCATACCTAAACCCTAAACAAGATGCAAGACGGCAGAGACCCTTAAAAGAACAAGAATCCGTGCTCAAAAGACCCAGCACTGCAAAGGTGACCCTCCCCTCTCTCTCCGCTCCAAACTGGCAGCTGTGGGAATTCTAGAGTTCCTTTTTGGGGCCTTGGGAGCGCCCAGGAGTTGCAGAGTTTTTGGGGGTTCTGTTGTAGAGTGGGTTTACCTATGCTTTCCGATGTGGCTCTCCTTTTTTGGGTGATGAGCATGTCTCTCTCTCTCTCCCTCTCTCTCTCTCTGCTTCCCCTCTTCTGCAGTTTTTGGCTATATGTACAATGTATGTATGATTATGCATGTACGTACGTTTGTAAGTATGCATGCATGCATGTATGTGTGTAGATGATATACACGCTTGTAAGTCACTAGCCTACACGGTCTAGGTTTACTACAGCCTTTCCTTCGCCAGGAGTGCCATCGCGCAGCGCGCTGCGCTCGCGGCTGCAGCAGCTGAAGGCCAGCAAGGAAGTTGGGAAGATCAGGGATGTGGGTTTAGGCTTGGGTGTAGGGTTTACGGTTTAGTCACTCCTACGGTTGCATGCATCGTTAAACGAGAAGGTCCTGCTGTTGAGGAGTGTTCGCTGGCACGCAATCCAAGCCCATGCTAAAAAGGGTTTAGGGTCTAGGGCTCAAGGATACGGTTTAGTCGGAGCATCCCGCTTTCTTAACGCAAATGGGACCACCGGTTCCAATTTTCCGGTCGCTGGCTGTTCTTCATCAGCTGCCTTGTTGGGGCGTTTGATTGCCAACGGGAAATCCTTCATCCTTACCATGATGATTATGCCTGTTATTAACCTTGTTACCACTATATAAAAGGCGATGCTGAAGGTTGGTGGGCCCCGTTGGTCCTACTGTTGATGATATGAATCCTGCATTGCCTTAGGGCCCCTAAACTATGGGAATTATGGTATATTCCTTATTATGGGTAATGCAGGATTTATATATCATCAACCGTAGGTCCTGTCCACCCGTCTTCATCCCCAGGAGCTCCCAGTATCGAAAAACGGTCCTGTACATGAAGGGTCTGTGCAATTTAACCCTGAAGTCACATAGCCAGAGAAGCGAACCCGATAAGCACACCAACCGTAAACAAATGTGGGAAACTGTGCGTTTGTATATATTTATATATATATATACACATACACACACATATATATATATAATATGTATATATGTAATTATATTTATGTCTTGATTATTTATTTGTTTATTCATGGATTTGCTTGTGGAAAGATACAACAACGGAATCGCTGGGGGTAGCTCGAGGCCAGTGGCGTGCAACCTTGGAGTTGTTACCAGGTGGGCCACGCAGAACCGGTGGGCTTGAGGGCTTTGGAAGAGTTCTATAGGGCCTATAGAGTTTAGGGTTTCGGGGTTCAGGGCTTTGGAAGAGTTCCATAGGGTTTAGGGTTTCGGGGTTCAGGGCTTTGGAAGAATTCTATAGGGTTCAGGGTTTCGGTGAAAAGGGGCTTTGGAAGTGTTCTATGTAGCGGTGGTATAGGTAGATAGACGCTCCTCTGGGTTCAAGAGTCCGACTCTTTTGGGCTGTCGATTATGGGATATTTGAGGGGGTTGATAGGGTTGTATAAGGAACAGTCTTATCACGTTGCTGTTGTTGTGAGACTTCGTCAAACGGTTGTGAGCGTTTGTTTATAAGGTTCAAAGGTTTGGGTTGCCAGCGTTTAAACTTGAGTTTTCAGGCTTTACAGGTAGAGGCGGTAGAGGTTTTGGATTTCGTTCAGGCCGAAGGTACGAGGTCTTGGGCCGCAAAGTATCCGGACTTTCGCGACTTAGCTGCTATGGAGAGACGTAGGTCCCACCATCCAAGTGGTCCTTGCCACCGGCTGGAAAGCCTTCCAAGTGTTTCTTGAATATTCCACCGCGGTCTTCGCCTAAGTTAGGGGCCTTCAATAATTACCTATATATTTTTCTATATATATATATATGTATATATACCTTTACATAGAAATTTGGGGGTTCCTGATTATACTTATAGTATAGTATACAGCATACCCCAAAACTCCCTTCTAATTAAAAAGGCCCCTGCGTTAGAGTGTTTGGGTCCGCGAGCTGCTGCTTTGAAGCGATGTAGGCCTGCTGCTCAGAATCCCCGTCTTCGCCCTTGAGACCCTCACCCCAAAGCGTCCTAGGTACTGAAATGGGGGGGATACTTCCATCGTACGAATAAGTCCTAAGATAGTAACCCCTACATTAGGGTTTAGGGTTTAGGGTTTTCTAAGTCTACTACAAAGGTGCATCGGAATTTTTGTTGGGCCTTTGGGTACCTGGCCTCTACCAGGGAGGGCCATCCGGTGGAGGCTCGGAGCAGGAAGGTCTCCTCAGCCTGATGCCCTGTGGCCCTACAGTGCTTTTGGGTTCAGGGTGCAGGGTAACCCAAAAAAACTATCGCGACTCGTCGAGGAAGGCCCTATTATAAGAACCCTGAACTCCTAAACCCTAAACCCTATTCAGACCTAAACCGTAAAGTCCTAAACCCGAAACCCTAAACCCTATTAGGACCTAAACCGTAAAGTCCTAAAACAGCTCGGAAGTCTGAGGCGCCCGGGATGTGCGAGGTTTCAGCTCGGCCGTCGATGCCGCTGCGAAGGCCGGCACCAAGTCTGCAGGAAGATCCATAAAAAAGGGTTTCAGGTTTAGGGGTTTAGGGTTTTAGGGTTTTAGGGTTTAGGGGTTTAGGGGTTTAGGGGTTTAAGGTTTAGGGTTTAGGGGTTTAGGGTTTAGGGTCTCAGGTTTAAGGGTTCTTGGTTTCAGGTTACATCCCCTGTAGTTACGGGTTTTTCGCGCTTCTATAGCTAAAGGTTGAGAGGCTTCTAGAGTTTATGGGTTCAGGTTTGTATAGGCAAGGGTTGAACTAAGTAAAGGTTTCTACAATTTTAAAGGGCTGTGATGACTATGGTTTTGGTTTCTATGTAAGGGTTTCTCAAAGTCCAGGGTGGGGGTGGGCTTGGGTTTTCTAGGCGTTTCTTACAATTCAGGGTTTTTGGGGCTTTGGGTCTCCATCTCAAGGTCTGGGTGATGGCCTTAGGCCATAGAGGTTTTCAGCAGGCAGTCTGCAACACCACGCGGCATGATGTTGCAGACTGCATCCATACACCCCTGAAAAGCCACAGAGCCTTTGGGTTGTTCGGGCTTCTATACCCTAAACCCTAAAACCCTATAAACCTTATAAACCCTGAACCGTAGACGCTAAACCCTATAAACCCTGAACCAGCGGAGAATCTTGAAAGAAAAGGGGCTTAGGGTCTCTCCAGCGAGGGGATTCGGATTCCTCGCATCAAGGATGCAGGGAACACAGGCTGCAAGCAAGATAGGGGCATAATAAGTAGAGGTGTTTCTTGTAAAGGGTTCTGCAAGGGATTTAGAGTTTTGGGTGCTTGTAGGTGCAATCATAGTTAGATACTATAGAATAGTTGCAGCAACTGCTCCAAGTCTATACAGCAAGTTGCCGGCTATCCGGGTTCGACAAACAGTTACCCTTCAGGTGTGAGTCTAAACCCTAAACCCTACACGCTGGGGCTGCCAGGAAAGGCACGGGCTTGAGACTGGTGTATGAATCGCAACATTCGACTTGCTCGCTCTGAACGTCCGGACTTTTGTACCATAGCTACGGCTTTCAGCATAAAGCCGGTATACCTTACCGGGCTTAACTGCCTTCTGTATACAACTTAAGCCTTTTTTTTACCTCCAGGTCGGCATGCTTCAGACAGCTCTTCTCTCGTAGCACTCGCTCAAATCGGCTCCCCACTCGTCGGGTTCTTCTGCCCTTAGGTTGGGGCAGGCATCCGGGCAATCCAAAGAATTTCGAGCCCCCCAACTTCAAGGATCTTGAAGCCTCCTAGGTACATTGAAGAGTTCAGTGTAGCTAAGGTTCGGAGCCCTTGGGACTTCTGGAAGAGCTTCGGCAATCTGGTCTCCAAACCCTGAAGCACCTCGAAGAGTACGGCGATGATTTACAGGGTCTGAGCAAGTAGTGACAGAATCCCTCTATAATCCCTACAACATTGGTCCGAGAGCACATTAACCCCAAACCCGGTTCGAAGTACCAATGAGGCCTTTGCATTTTCATCAAGCCTTTATAAGGAGCTTTGTGTAATGTTTCTGAGCCACAGGCATTTAAACATCGAGGTGCTGTCGCAGAGGGCAGCTAGTGGCGGCTTTGTATCCTCTGCAGCCCGAACCCTGAAAATACAGAGCGCGTACGGCAGTGTGGGGTTCAGGTTTAATTCCGTCAGGTTTTTTTTGGGATTTGTGACTGAGGCCTTAGTAGCTGAGTGAGTACACTATGCACTCTTTTTGGGACAATACTATTTCTTATAGAACTGAAAGTTTACGGCTGTTTGAGCTGATGAGCTCAGCAACAAAGTCAGACTTTAGGGCTAATTGTGTTTCGGGCGTTCCAGGGGGCCAGGGGGTCAGTGAAACCTATTTGGAAGACTTGCCCGTGCCACGTGTCAGAGTGCGCGTGTCAGGACTTAGCGACATGCCAGTTGGCAGTAAATGGCAGTAGGACATCAGTCCTGGGACATGACTCGTCTGAAAACCCTTAACTCCCTAACCCCTAAAGTTGAAGAAGCGTGAGCGCCGAAACCCTGAACCCCTATTTCCAGATTACTTAAATTTGGGAAAGCCGAAACCGTGGACTTAAAGAGTCCTAGACCAAGCCCTAAAGGGCCAGAATGGCTACGGCTGAAGATGTCTCTCCTAAGATTTTGATTTCCCTTCTCCTATGGAGAAGATGTGCAGGCCTGGTGGAAGAGGTCCTGCAGACGCCGAGCAGGTGGCCCTCCCGGAGTGGGAGCCAATGGCTGGGACTCCTTACCCAGGACCAGCCCCACAGCCTCAGCCACCTGCTGGCAATCCTGCCGCAGCCAAGCCTCACCGGTGACCACAAGATCAGGGGTCTGGTTGCCCGCTCTGCTGCACCATGCACTGGGATGCCAGTATGCAGGAGTCCAACTTCCGTCAGCTGGCATCAGCACTCCGATCACTGAGGCCTCTCAGATCCCAGCTGAGCAGTTGCGCTGAATGTCAGCGATGGGAGTCCCAGAAGCGAGTGGGAATCCCTAATCCTTGCTTTTTTTTGGCTTAGACCCCAAGCCCTGCCTAGATCTTATAACTTATAGCCTTAAGACCCGAACTAAACCCTCCGGGAATCCTTCGACAAAGCTGCAAGGTAAGGCCCCGAAAATATAGAGGGGCCTTGAAAGTCAAAATCGGATATTCTGGGCTGCTTCATATCAGTATAGTAGATCTCTAATCCAGAAGAACCCAAGCATCAAGGCATACTCTTGGTAGTTATATTTGGGCGTAGGCTTCTCCTAAACCCTATAAGCCCTAAGCCCTAAACCCTCAACCCTAAACCCTAGTAGACCCTGAACCCCCGAAGCCGAGACTCGAAGTTCCCGAGCCAGCTCAGCCAGTCAAGCCGATGGGTTGTATTTTTAGGGGGCCTGGGGTTTAGGAAGTTTAGGGTTTTAGGGCTTAGGCAGGGCTTAGTCCATTGCAGTCCCTGCTCAAAAAAGGGTTTAGGCAGGGGGTTTGGGTTAGTTCGGGCTCTTGAAGGTAACCTTGAAGCTTTTTGGAAGCTCTTAACTCCTCCCATCTCTTGCTTCTTAAAGCCCCAAAGCCGCTTAAAAATCCTATATAGTACACCCTAGACCTTAACCGTGCAAAAATCCAAGCACTAGACCCCAACAACTGGCTCAGCCTGGTTAGGAACTTCAAGCTGTTCGCAGTCGGAAAAAGAGCCCCATCAAACCAAAGCCTAAGCCCCAATGCTTGAAAAGATGGACAGGCGATGCTTTGGAAGTTGTCCTTCGGCCTTCTAGCTTCCATGGCCGCCGCCCAGGCGCCGAGAAACCCCATGAGTTATGATGCCGGCGTCTTATAGTACCCAAATAGCACCCTAAACAACAGCCCTCATAGTATCCCTAAGCCCTTAAGCCCTAAACCGCCGAAGCCCACTTGTGGAGAGCACCGTGGAGGAATAAAGGCATTTAGGGTTCAGGGGCTCGCTTTTGTTAGCTTCCTTGCAGTCTAGGTTCATCCTATTCTACGGGTTGCATCGACATTTCTCCTTCGTCAGAAAGTTGACTTGAAGGCCGTAACCTTGCTCGATAGGTGCCACATGAGTAGTTCTTTAAATTTGTTGGGGTCCTTTTCACAAGGGTGGCGTACTTCTTGGGGACTTACAAGAGGACCCTAATTTAGAGGATTAATTACATACATTGCAACGTCGAAGAAAGTTGTCTTGGCGTGTACTTAAATCATCGAGGACCAACAAGATCTGGCATGTGCTAGATCGCGCACCAGAGCAATGACAAAACAATGCTGGAAGTGAGGAAGGGCAGAAGAAACGCTTGAAGCAGAGTCCTAAACCCTTTTTGCAGCAAGCTTCTTCGCTCGGAGTCCTGAACCATAAATCCTGAGCCTAAACCCTTACTAGTCCTTACCTCCCGCCCCAGGTGCAATCCAGTGTCATCGCCTACCACGCCTGCATTGGCAGCTGCGAGAGCTTCGGCTGCACGACGCTACGGTTCACTGTTTAGGGATTCGGGGTTAACTATTTCGGGATTCGGCATTAGTAGGGCTCGGAGTTTAGGATTTAGGCATCGATGAGGGTTTAGGGATTGATTAGGATTTAGGATTCAGGGATGATTTTGCATGATGGTTCGTCCCATGCTTTTCGTGGTAGCAGAAGCTTGCAAAGCAATGCTACCAGCATGGCGAGACACGCGACGTGTACAACAGGAGATCGTACTAGCGTGAGAAGTCGAGTTGCGTGTGCCATAGGACTTGACACGTGCCTGTGGTGAAAGGAAAGCCGGCCAATGGGCGGCAGTGCTGCAGTTGGAGGCAGGTTGGGATGCTATTCCACGGTGGATGCCCCTACCATCCGGGTCTAACAGCACGTGCCAGGGTTTGGGATTCTTGCAGGAGACGGCATTGCATGTCCCTGAAGCCACAAGTTCTGGGCCCAAGCCATGACAGAAGCCTTCCGTCAGCAATGTTTGCTGCTAGCTTGGGCTAACATCGAATCTGCGGCATGTGAAGACGGTGCCGCAAGCAGCCTCTGCTGGGAACGGAATGAGATCACCCACGCCATGGAAGCAGGCACTTCCTTGGAGCAGGTCCTTAGCAAAGCCGAGGACTTCCCCCGCCTGTCTCAGAAGTTCCTGGAACTGCAAGGCTCGAATCCGACATCGCTAGATGTCGACTTGGCGGCGTGGGATTTGGTCTTGGCACAGGGTGTTTATTTTCACAGGCGCTCTTGACACAAAAACCGAATTATAACCAATCCTAAAGCCCAGACAGACCAAGGTAGATGCCTTGGTCTTCATTCGCCTTCTGGCGCTCCTGCGGGAGCACTTCTACAAGCGCTGCGGCCGCTTTAGGTTGAGATGTGCTGTGGGTTAGGGTCGTGGGGCTTGGGTGTAGGGGCTCGTGGCGTATCCAGGGAACCCGAGCCTTCCCTTAGTAGAGTTGCTACAACATAGGCATAATAATAAGACGCCTATGCAAACCCGACCCCAGCCCAGAAGTCACACCCTTCCTTTGCTATGAGAAGGTGACGCGAGATTCTGTCCAGCGAAGAAGGCTCAACTGCCCTCGAAGCCTGCCTACGCAGTTCTTTTTTTCCGTCATTCCCTCCCTGAACCTCGGGCCCCACGCTTGCATCCTGCCCTACGCCCAACGTCGAGATCGCAAGAAATAAGCCTTTCAGACCCTCAAACCTTGAGTGCCTAACACCCTTCTTCGTCTCAGCGCCTGAATACTCTATTCTTATTCAGGCCCCTATATTCGGAGCCATTATAGCAGGCCTTGTAGGTGCCCCTATAGACCCTGCTTAAAGAAAGGAACCTTCTTCTATATACTGCATCTAGCAAGAGAATTCGAGGATGCAAGACGGCGCCGGAGCTTTCGAGCCTGGGTTCGTGTTCAGAAACTTGTCCCCTAAACCTTAAACCCTCGCCTAGGTTTCTCCGAGTGTGAGTGCTGAAACCTTAAACCCTAAACCCTTAAACCCTAAACCCTACGATCAGAAGGGGACCCTATCATTTACTAGATCCCTAAATATAGCAACTTTACGTAATAAGCCTGCTTTGTCGAGTGCGAGTGCTAAAGCCTTTATTCAGACAACTCTATTAACCTTATTCTTTAAGCCCAAAATCTCGTTCCTGGCAAGAACCAAGGAGCCAGTAGGGTTTGACATCCGCGTCGCCGTTCGCAGACTCGCCGATGAGACTGGTGTTCACCTGGGCAGGGCGAAGAGCATTAACCGTTTGAGGAATCTGGGGACTGTTAAGATTAGGGTTTAGGAGTTTAGGGTTTAGTTAGAGGTAAACGGTGTGTCATGATGTGATTGTTTGGTAGGATTACCCTGGCGAAAGAATGAGAGAGGGAGGGAGGGGAGGGACGGAGGGAGAGGGAGGGAGGGCGCTCGGGGCTGTTGTAGTACTTGTATGTGTGATGTGTTTGCTTGAGCCCCGGAGAGAGACTTCTGCACAGGAGATATTTTGCTTGGCCCAAGCATATGCAAACGTGTGCATACAGACCCTAAACCCTAACTTGGACCCTAACCCCTAAACCCTAAACCCTAAGCCTAAACCCTAAACCCTAACCGCTAAACCCTAAACCCTAAACAGACATGATTCATTACCCTTCGGGCTGCAGGAACCTGCAGCTTCGCCCTTGAGAAGAGCATCGCTTGTCAACATTGTTAAGTGTCCCTCAGTGAGGAGAGTCCTTAGTTCAGGGAATGTGGAGATCATGTGGGGCTAGACTTGGGTAGAACTCAGGAATGCCTTCAAGCACCAGACTGCGAAGCGATATGGCCTGGGGGGGAAGCAGGCAAACCAGCACCCGGGCATCTATAGGGACTGAGTCGGGTCGGTACGAACTTGTGGCGATTTGCATTTCTGGGTTTTCGAAATGTATAGAATTCAGGAAGCAAGAGGCTTGTCCTTGGTAT